AAAATTGAAATTTTTGTCTTATATAAAAGTTTTCAATTTTATTAATAAATATTTTTTATTTTATATTAAAATAAAGATTATAAGTTATAATATAACACATATTTTTTTCTGGATTTACTAGATTTTTTTCTAACAAAGTTGTTCTAATTGCAAAAATTTTTTATAATTAATTTTATATTTTAATTATAAAAAAATATATGTTAAACTATAACTTATAATCTTTATTTTGATAAAAAATAAAAAATATTGAAAACTTTTATATAAGAAAAAAATTTCAATTTTTACTATATTTTATTAATAAAATCGCACGCGTGATTCCATAATTCTGTTAACCACTGTATATAAGTTATTAGTAAAGTAAAATTATTATTAAAATAAAGGTCAAAATGATTTACACCCATCCTATTACCATACATCTAAAATATCTTATGATCCTACACACGGCGTGCCATGCGACATAGCCTCGCAATCAAGATCAGTCACACTCACGAAGTGAGGATGTTTATTTCATACAAACAATCGGTAAAAAACCGACGACATCGCGACTGAAAAATTAATTTCGCCGGAAATAGTATCATCCACGCGCGATACACCATGTGGGCGACTTTATTAAATAAAAATCCGAAAAACGAATAATTCCTGCGCATGCGTGTATGTGATCTAATAAGTGATCGGCGTTACGAAAAATAATACGTTAAGTCTTTTTAATCGATCACAAAGCTTGGATGGCAGTGCCAACCGACATCCGCGGATGATTAGAAACAAATTATATATAAATTACCCACACCACGCGGAAAATTATCCCATAATCAACAATTTCATATGTAAAATCGTTTTTTATTAATACCGGTTAAGCCAGGTGAGATACACTCCACTCACAAATACATAAGTTATGGATGAATATAGCTTTTAACTATCTTCTTGATCTGGCGACTCTGGCTTCGAGTTACAACATTTTGTCCTTCGGGAGTAAGTTTTCCTTGCGCTTAAATTCTCTGTCGTCTTTTTGTTCTTTGTAGGGAACATCAGATTCTTCATCAGCATTGTCAGCAACCGAGGACACTTGAACTTCGTCGCTTGAGTCGCTCTTATCTAACACCCAGTGCGTGGAACAACAAAGAATTATTGACAAGTGCGATGTTCTGAAAAAAAAAGAATTATCTGGACTAGTCAAAGGGCTTTAAACAAATTGTGTCATTAGTTGATTACACCGAGATTTCAACTGAACATAAGTGGTAGAGATGGTGGATATCATCCATGTAATTAGTTCATCAGAATAGAACCGTACCTGCAACCTGGATTCAAACTCGTTTTCATTTCCCGCCACAGCTTCACCCTGTCATCCTCTTCTTTGATCTCGGTACATACCAATCGTGAACATTCCGTAAATATAAGTTCGTATAACTTACCTTTGTCATTTACCGAAACCTCGAAAGTCAATTTTGTGTCCCCGTCCAACACGGTATATATAGTATATTCGCAATTCGGACGAATGTACCAAGTATTAGGAAATAGTTTGGTAGATTTAGTTTCGCGAAAATCCAGCAGAAGAGAACAGTCAACCTCTAGTCACACTGTCAGGCCGGAAATTTATTCTTCTAAAGAGTACCTTAGCCTGATTAAGTTTTGTATGAGCCAAATTAGCCTGATTTTGATAATTTCGAATTCCTGACGAGTCCATAAAATATCGAGATCAGTTCCTGATTGACGTCTTCCCTTTTTGTGAAAAAAAAAAGTCGGTAAAGGTGGAGGACGATATCCAGTCGTTGATAACCCTCTTCTGACCATACCGCCGGCGAAAGATTGCGACATAATTGTGGTTGAGGGTGTGTATACCCAAAAACGGATCCCTCTCAAGAGAAAAAGATGAAAAGCGTGACCGAGCATGAGAGCTCGAAAGCAATAATAATTTTTTCATGAATGAGACTCTATTATATATAGAATATCCCCTGCCTTTCTATCAGCACTAGCCGCACTTTGTTGCTCGGCCCTAAATGAGAATAATTATATGACCTTTTTAACATAATCAGACTCGGTTTAGTCAAAATACCAGATAGGTAAACTCTATCAAACTTACGTGCTAAGAAAGGCGGACTTTCGGATTGGAAGTCTTCTCAATGCAGAGGAACTATTACATATGTTCCTTCACTCTGCAATCACGTGAACTTCGACCCGAAAGCTGGATCCTTCCAAATATCACTTAGATAGTAAAGGATTTTTGTTGTAATTTTCATAAGTCTTCTTCTGTCTCCTTCCAAGTATCATTATGTGTATTTTTTGTGGCAAACCTCCGTGTAATCTTTGCCAACATTATTTACGAGCTCATACATATTCGCAGTCTCATGTAACCATTACATATTGTTCCAAACAATACAATGTGAAACATCTTCATTGTCATCCGGAAAAACCTTAAATTTGTCCGTATAATGATCGTAGCACTTCTGTTCTTCGGCTAAAAACAAACATTTAATTAGAATTGCAAAAAATACTCCCGAAGAAACTCAATGCTACAATTTTATTACCAATGAATTTTTATTTCCTTTTCAATCTCTTCCTATAGCGATAGACATAGATAAAAACCGCAAGTGAATAGAAATAGATAATTAAAGTGATATTCGTCAAATATTACCTTAGATAAGTTCGACCTTGAGGAATTAAGGGGAAGAAGTATTAGAATCTCATCCTATAGACGTAAAACCGCAAAAGTGAATATAAATAAATATTGTACCGATTAACAATCATAATATTATACCAAGTCGATTTTATCAATAATTTCTTTCTCCGCACGATATTCTCATAATTCTCGAAAGTAACACATGTACCTTTCTCGGATAATAATTTCTTGTCATTCTCGCTTCTGTCTTTGCCATCTCGACATCACTAAAACTGCAAACCCCTTCGAGAGCTACATCAAACTGGTTGCAATAAAAAAATACTGTATTAATATTCAATGATAAAGTGATATTTAACTTTTAATACTACAAGCTTGTATCATCAGAACGTTGTGACAAAGTTGCCATCTCTGTGCGGCCTACACATTTTAAGTAGTTCCGTTTTCCACACGTACTTCCAGAACTTGTTGTTTTGTGACTAAAGCCTTCAAAGCTTTCATTCGTGATTTCACGTGATGGTGTCTGATTGGTTAATAATACTATGATACCGATACTTCTTAACGTTAAGAGGCTGGTTATTTCATAAAAATATCGATATAAAAATTGTAAACAATCATCATTAATATGATATATATTTAAAAAGTACCTGTGTCAGTTGGAATTAAAATTAAGATTCGACTACATTTGAAGAGCAATAATACCGATACAAATTTCTAGGTCAAAACGTTAAATCATTAGTATCTATCAAGTACATGAACGATAATTTTGTTGGTAGCCATAATGGATGAGCAATTTGATCTACAACGAAATCTTGGCTTATATATAACGATAAACGCCACCTATTTATTGTGCAACGTGGCTTGGAACGAGAACAATACAGGGGAAACCTCTAATTGCTACAAAAAAAACTATAGCGATAGAATCCGAGTGTGTTAAACATAAGTAAAAATTTTTCTACCCATGTATTTTACTCGACCGCTGTTGAAACTTCAAGTCTAGAATACTTGAATAAACGCATACAGTTATCGGATAAAAGAGAAAACCCAAATTTAAAGTACATGTAAGACTAATAGTACGAATTTTCAATGTTATCCTTATTGTTTTGTTGGTCTGCAAGTCAAAATATTTTTGTTATTTCTATTATACTGTATATATTATAGGCATTAACGCAGCAAATCAAATTTAAGTTATAATAATTGATAATTCTATTCGTACGGAATTTTCAATGTACATGTATTTTGTTTTTTTGTAAGCCATGTATAGCCAGTCATGCTAATTATTTTACAAACTTTGAGAGATAACAGTAACTTTCAAAGCCATTACTGAATGTTCATCGTCCTTTCTGGCCTAGTGCAACGTGGCTTGGAATGAGGGCTCAATGTATTTTGAAAATTTGATCATTAGATGTACGTACGTATAAATAAATGTCCTTCGTTCGTCCGCCATTAACGTTAACGTTAATAATTGAATAATCACAATAATAATAACGTAAAATGCATAAATTAAAAACATCTGCATGGAATTGGCTCATTCTACTATCAATTGTCATCGCAACTCTAATAATTGCATTTTTCTCGACCGCTGTTGAAACTTCAAGTCTAGAATACTCGACAGAAAACAAAAATTCCAACCCTTTCGCACATGTTAAACGTGTTCCAAAGAAAAAAAAGTTTAAATATTTACTAGGTAATGACGAAGATGATGATGACAATCAAAACGCTACAACATTAATATCGAATGTTACCAGTTACTTTAGTAATGATTCTGTTCGTACAGAAATTAATGGTGATTTTTCAATATCGATATTATTTTTTGTTGGTTTATTTCTTTTTGTAAGTCAGGCTCATCATTTTTAGCTTGACTTTTCTTTCTACTATACGTATTTATTATGTAACGGTAATGCTTAAGCAAAGTTTCTTTTCAAATTTTATTATAAAATCTAGAAAAATGAGATTAATGTCATTATTGGAAATATCGGAAATTAAATATCACTCTTTTACTATTATCACCGAACTATTTGTGTATTTGCTAACGCTAATTCTAAAGAACTGAACTAAGGCATTAAAGAATAATTAAAATGCTCAAGTGAACTAACTGCTCTTGAGCACGAATTTTTGCAATTTGGTAATTCTAGAGCACTTGCTCAAATCGAGTTCGGTTGGAAACGCGTTTCAAGCTTGTATAACCTACGAATTCTCACTATAACCAGTTCAATTTTATGATTACCGTTATGCTAGGGACGTTACAGTTCGGTTTGGTTTCAGCTTTACACTTGAAGCCATTTTAAATGGGTTTCAACTAATTGAGTACAATAGACTCGTTAATTTATAAACACGCTTTCAAATATGCTCTCACGAGATTCTCAAAATTTGTATGTGTTTTGCAAAAAATCAATAAGCAACTTTTTTGAAGGGTCACTTATTAATGGATGTCTTACCAAACTAAGATTTTGCGTGTGCTTAGGCTAGCACATTACAAACGTTCGTGCTCAAGACCAGTTCGAGCGGATGGTAGTTCAGCTGGAGTTAAATCGGTTGTAGAATCAAATTCGCTCTTATACCACATGTATATCGGTATGGACTAATAAATGTAAAAATTAAATTATCGCATTCATCGATTTCCAAGATTAATGGCAAAAAAATCGATGGAATCGTTCTGTATAAAATGGCTCAGAATTTTTTACATTGATTCATATATGAGCTTAATTGATGCTTTCTCCTGGTGTCCGGATATTCGTTTTGCCTTGTGATTACGTGGACGATGACACTGATGAGGCTTGTGAAAAAATAGATCGAGGTCAAATCCTATGAGAATTCTTACAATGTATGGATTGGAAAATACCTACCGTCCGGTTTTAATATAAACCTTCTATAATGGATACATGTATGGAAGATAAACTTTGCGCGCAGGAGAGATTCTATTGTGAGAATGTCCGGCACGCAATTGCAAGCTCTGAACAACGCTAAAAAATGAGTATTTATCACCTTAATTTGTTCATCGTACTTTGAGTTAAATCTAGGTTTAAATTTTCTGTAGTAAAGGATACTTTATGCAGTGAAGTACGGTGCTCGCAACTTTGTATAGTCATTTGTTTAGCCAAGATCGATAGCACAATTTCTGTATATCTTGAAGAGTATTCTCCTAACTTTAATAGAACTTACCTCCTTTATTTGCCTATGTATTATTAGGAATGATGTTAATTTGCTTGAGAAGTTTTAGTTTGGTTTCAGCTTGAGTTGGTGTTTTCAACTAATAGAGTTCAATAGTCTCGTTTCTATAAACACGCTTTCAAATGAGATTCTCAAAACGTGCATACAAATGCTGATTATTGATACTTGTTATGGGATTGTTAATGGAGCGGAGCGGAGTGAATTGGGTTCATATTATAGCGGAGCAATGGGTCAATCAAATTGAACCCATTGTTTCGGGTTTTGCTCCAGTACTGCTCCAGCTATTCATATATAAAATACTTTTATTAATAAACAAGTTTCATACTCGTATCTCAAAAATAAAAAGTTAAATAAATGGAAGCTTCAATATCGATTTTGTCACGTACTTGCTGAATCCAACTTTTTAAACACATTACTGCACTTGCTGTATTTGGTTTTAAGTTGAATCGAATTTTGGTTATAGCTGCCATAGAAAATGCCTGTTCTGAGAGTACACTTGAACCTTGTATACTTAAATAATAGGATGCTATATTTGCAAGAACTGGAAAATCTCCCTTAAAATAGTGTCACCAATCTAACGGATCTGAATCAGAGTCAATTGGTGTTCCAATATTCTTTTATCATACATTTTCTAAATAACATGATTTTGAATAAAAGATTTCAAATGCCAAAGCAAATCAATAATAGTTAATTTTATATTGCTTATTATAGAATATGTAAAAGATGATAATATCTTAGTTGTAATAAAAATTTATTTAAGTAGTTGAATCATATTATTAATTTTGATCTATTATCTTATAAATGAATACTAGTAAGATCCTGATTTTTAGCAATGAGAATATCTAGAATATTGTATATGTGATAAATTTTTTTTTTTACATAAAATAAGTACTAAATCGAGTTTTATTTCGATAATACTTTCAAGTTTGCATATTGTTCTTAATAAATTACACAACTTTGTTAATTAATATATTTTTACTATAAATATATATACTTTTATTATAGTAGATGTTACCAATTGTAATTCATATTGTATAGCAATATTAAATATATGTACTAAATAATATTAATATATAAATTCAGTATTTTAAGTTTTCAAGTTACAATTATTATGAATGCTATATTATTTATTATGATTTCTAATAATTTTTCAATAATTTTAATCTTTTTAATATTTGTATAATATATATAGCAGTATATTGTTCAGAAAAATAAAAATCAAGCAAAAAGTAATATAGCTTTCACTTTTTATTAACTAAGTAAATTATTATATCAAAATATAATTATATAATAATTGAACTTCAAATATTATATATAATTAATATTTTTTAGTTTTTTCAAGCTCTTTAATATTTTATTATATATTATTATTTTATTTTATTTTTATAATTTAACAACAAAATACTTAATAATATTTATTAAATATATTTTTAATAGTAAAATAAGAATTATTTATAATTACAAAAAAATTGATAACAAATAATAAATTTATAATTATATTTATTAATTATTAATATTGTTTTTCTGTTTTTAAATATGACTTATTTTTGTATTTATTTATAATATTTTGAAGATTATTATATTTTTTATATAAATATTTGGCAAATATATTTATAGTATTTGAAATTTGTAATGAGCTTTGCAAATTAAACAAACAAAACTTGTAATTATTATTAAATTTCTTAAAAAAATTTCCAAATCAAAAAAGTTTTACATAAAGTTAAAAATTTTAGTACTTTATATAATTTACAAAAAATAGATTACTTCTAATAAGTATAATATATAAACTCGAAATTTTTAGTTTATAAATAGCAAATAGATAAATAAGAAGTTTTTATAACTTTTATTATTGTATATAATAATATTTTATTTTTATCACAATTTTAAAAATCTATTATTTTTTGAAATTGTTTTTTAAAATAATAATAAGCAAGTTTTTTAAATATATTTTAAAGAATATAATTATAAATTTATATTAAATTATATTATTTTACTGTTACAGCAATTCTAAATAATGGGTTTCACTGAGAATCACTATAAGCATATGATGTTGGGAGAGGGACGATTAAACTTAAGTAAAGAGAATGAATTA